AAAATAGTAGCCTATTTTCCAACGTACGTCATAAGCTATCTCTGTACTTTTTTAACAGGTGGCAACTCTTCCAAAAAATTAGCCTATTTTCCACTGTAGGTCATAAGCTAACTGCTTGCAAAATTTCATGCAAATCCGTTCAGACGTTTCCGCGTATTAATTTAATTAAACTTTGTTAGTAGGTGGCAGCTATTAACAAAAAGTAGCCTATTTTCCAACCTAGCTCATGAGCTGTCTGTGTGAAAACTTCCATGTAAATCAGTTCACCCATTTCCGCGTATTAATTAAATTAAACATTTCTAACAGGTGGCAACTCTTAAAGAAGTAGCCTATTTTCCAACCTAGGTCATAATCTATCCGTGTGCAAAATGTCATGCAAATCCGTTTAGTGGTTTCCGCGTATTATTTTAATTAAACCTTTTTAACAGGTAACAACTCTTAGGAAAGTAGCCTATTTTCCAATCTAGGTCATAAGCTATCTTCTTACAAAATTTCATGCAAATCCGTTCAGTCGTTGCAGCGTGATGATTTCCCAAACATCCAAACATACAAACTTTCACATTTATAATATTAGTAAGATAGTAAGATGAGACACAGTACTTACGTAAATAAAAACTTAACGAAAAATATTAAAAATGAAAAACATTGGAAATTCAAAACAAAAAAATCATTGCATAACTATACATTTCGGGTGCTCAGTGATATATTTACGTATGTACAGTATCGTTCAAGACAATAGCACCCCCATTTCAAAGTGAGATTGTTTACCCCTTTTGTTAATTTTTTTTTTTTAATCTGATTAAAAGGTAAAAAATTTTGATGAAAAATCATTAAATTTAACTTGGTTTTGTATAAAGTTTTAAAACACGGTTTATATGGTTTTGTTTTAAGCATGATCATTTTTTTTTATAAAATAATAACAAACGAATTTTAACTCTCAATATATTGTGAATATTTAAAAAAGAAATGCTGTACGCAGACCTTTGCTGTTAAGTGTAGCTTAACAAAATTTTATATTTTGCATTCAATTTTAACGTACGTAGATATGTATAAAAATGACATTAATGCTACCAATAACGACTTTTTTGGAAATATTTTAGCAGTTGCCCCATAATCTAGAGAATCACATATTAAATAAACGAAAACAGTTTGCTATTAGTTTTAGGGTCTAAGCAAATCGAAAAAATATATCTAGTATGGTACAGTCGTGCCTCTTTTGTCAGCTTTCACATGACTGGGGTGAGTAACATTGATGTAGAGTCCGACCGATTCCAATTTTTTTTCAGGTACCGATGCCGATGCCGATTAATCGGCTTATGGGGAAAGAATCGGCCGATTCCCATGCCGATTCCATAAAAAATTACAAATAAATGTATTAATTCATAAAATCAGTACATTTCACGGAGTTAAAAAAAAACAAAAGAAAAGAAATAATTGAATTAATTGGCTTGTTATGCAACATTACATACACATGTATGTATGATATGTATGTGTAAAAATATATGTACATATATCACATTATGTACATTACATAAAACACTTTTTTATATGGTGCTAAGCAAAAAATATTTAGGAACATAAAATTTCATTTCGTTTTGTACTAAAATACACCCTTTTGCACTCAATGCATAAGAACTTATATGCTAGGTACTAGGGCATTCAATCCCGGGATCCAGAAACCCGGGATTCCGGGATCCCGGACACTTTTCCATGTCCCGAAATCCCGGGATTACAGCTCCGGGATCCCGAGGTTTTTCTGAGTTATTTACCGAATAAAAGAGATGCTGAAAACGAAAAAATTTATTAATTTTACATGAAAAACTAAATATACAGATCATCAAAATTTTGATTCAAAGTGAACATGTGCCATTTGCACTTGGACGTGAATTTCAGAACCTGCCTGAATTACTATACTTGTTCAAACATTTTTTGGAAGAATTGTGTAATAACGAAAAATCTGGTAGCAATTGATAACACAACAAGTTTTTACAGTGTGTAAGGGTTTTTCCTCATTTTACTTTGTTGGCGTTTTGTGTAAAATAAGTTTCTGTAGATATTAGTAAGGTGTTTTTACAATCAATATATATATTTAAGAATACTATAAAAGTATTCAGACATTAAATTACGGACTCTTTTACTGACGTGCATTATGCTCCCTGTAAGACCAAAAACAGTGACAATGAATCTGTGTGGTTTAAAAAAGGCGAACCTACTGTTAAATGCAAAAGTTGTGATAAAGCCCAAATCCCGAAAAATCCCGGGATCCCGGGATTAGAATTTTTGGATCCCGAAATCCCGGGATTGTTAAAATGCTTCGGGATTGAATGCCCTACTAGGTACGTATGTACCAGGGATGTTGCGAATGTGGAATTTTAGACATCCGCGGATGCGAATGCGGATGCGGATGTTTAAACGCTATCATCCGCGGATGCGGATGCGAATGCGGAAGTCAAGTATTTTTATACCCGAGCGCACTTGTGCACAAGGGTTTTATAAATTTGTTCACATAACGGTTGTTTATAACAGCCAAAACGAATCGAGAAAGATATAGACAAATATATACATAAATGATCAGAATGAAAAGAGAAATCGATTAAGCGGTGGCTGTCTGTCCGTCCGTCCGTCCGTCTGTGCACACGATAACTCGAGTACAAATTGAGATATCTTAACGAAACTGGGTATGTGTACTTCTTTTGAGCGGTGGACGGATGGTACTGAAAATGGGCAAAATCAGACGATAACCACGCTCACCTCCCATAAGACGGCAGTTTTGAGAAATGCGAAAACTGCGATATTTTATTAACTACTGAAGCTTATTCACTCAAAATTAATATTTACAATAATTTTTAGGCGAAAAATAAGAATATTATAAATTTTTGGAAAATGGGCGTAGCCACTCCCACTTATGATTACATGTGTATATCTTGGGAACCGCTCCACCAATTTCTCCCAAACTTGGCACAGTTGTTGGGCCTTCACAAAACACACCAAACGGCATAAAATTTAGAAAATCTGATAATACTTAGCCATGCCCACATCCCATATAACGATATTTTAGAGAAATACCAAAGCTTCTATAAATCAGTAAATACTGGAGCTAATTTATTCAAAATTAATTTTTGCAATAATTATTTAGAAAAAAATTGGCTTATAAGAAAAGATTGGAAAATGGGCGTGAACCCGCAAACTTATAACCACCGCTCTATCAATGTGTACCAAACTCGGTATGATTATTGTGGTTGCCACATAAAGGCAAAATGTTGAAAGTTTTGAAATCTGACTAAAGTTACGCCCACTTTTTTATAACGGTAAATTTCAGAAATGTTTGAAACTTTGATATTTCGAAATTTAAGGAAGCTAACTTTACCAAAAATTTATATTAACAACAATCCCTTGAAAAGAAGTAACATTATTATGGAATTTTGGAAATCGGACGTGGTGCCGCAGACATATATCTATATAAGTTTATCTCATTACATCTAACTGAACGTTCTACCGAAGATGTTTAAAATAGACGTAAAACCACCACTGCTTACCATGTAGCGGTAGTCTTCGGAAAGGTGAAAAAAACTATATTGAATACTTGCGCCGGGTATTTAATGTTCGGCTCCGCCCGAACTTTGACTTTTTTACTTGTTAAGAAATAATTTAATATAATATAATAATTCTTTTTTGAGAATTGCATCGGGCTGCAAATGTCGGATATATCCTCCTGACTTTCATCTTAACAATCTTGCATTATGGCAAGATCGTGGTTTAAACACCGTTGATTTCCAAAGAATTCTTCATTCTCATTCTTTTGGTTGTTTCTGAATTTGGAGAACCTGTAAAGTCAACAGCGTTTTTCGATTTTGTTTTTGTAATTCATTTTTAATCCTTTCTTCTGTGACTGAAATAGCTTTTAAGCAGAAATAACGAAAAAAGGTTACCACCTCTATTTGTATTTTTTATCATTTAATACTAAAGAAATTCATATACCAGACCCAAGGTTTGATCTATGGTAATTAATTAACATTTTTTATTAATATATTTTTCAATGGGTGGCTTTGCTCGTTTAGACATTTCCTTCATTTGGTACCAAACTTGTTTAATTTGGATAAGAGGTTTGCTTATTATCCGGAAAAGTCTTTTAATTGGGAATAAAAAATATTTGGCCAAGTTTAACTGTTAAAAAAAAAAAAACTGTTATTTTCGGTCCCTTCAATATTCGCATTCGCAAAAGATCCGCATTGATAATTGCGAATACGAATATTAATATTAATGCGGAAGGCTCCGATTTTGCCTTTTTTATTTAATGATTATTTTTATTTTTTTTTATAAAAGTCTAGCTGGTATACAACAAACACCATATAAATTCAGATTTCAAACTTTGTACAAAAATTAGAAAAATTCTGCTTATTTTCACCAAAATTTCAAACTTTTTAATCAGAATTTTGGTATGGAGTTTTGTAGACCATTTCATTCTAGTATAATGAAGTGCAAGTGTTCTCCATGAAAATAATTTTTGTGAGCTGTCTGCAAATGTTTTTTAAAGTTGGCTGTCGCGTAACCTGAACATTTGAAAAGAAATTCCAAAGAATCGGCAAAGAATCGGCGAAAAAAAGGCCGATGCCGATGCCGATGCTCAATTTTGTGCCGATACTAGCCGGTGCCGATTAATCGGTCGGACTCTACATTGATGACAGCGCAACTAGCAACATATGAATTTCAACCGCCCAGCTCTGCATCCCTTTTGCGGTAGTTCAGAGACAGTTCTGAATTTTGTAGGGCGGAACTAGCGCTTTGCCAGACTGTCCCTAAATTTTGCTGCAGGGCAGTCTTGTGTACAAGTGCGTACGTGTACAGAAATTACTGTGGTAATTATTTATGTTTTTGTATCTTTGTGTGTCCAATATTTGATGTGCAATCAATTTATAAATTTAAGTAGTTAAGTCCGAGTTTAGAAGACAACATGATGTTCTGCAGGTGACTCTTAATAACGAATGGGGGGAATGATTTACTTACAATTGATCAGTCTTTACGTTGATGGAATTCTTATCTATTCGAGTTATTTGATTGTTGTCTAGATCACTGAAAATTTGTTTAAAAATATTAGCAAAAACATACATAGAAAGAAAAAAGACATATGGTTGCTTACATCATTTGTAAAATGTTTTCAGATTGAATGTGCCGCAAATCCGGGACTCTTATTAGTCCACTATTAATAATTCGTCTGAAATGAAAAGATGGTTAAAAAATGAGAAAGGCAGTGAATTGGCAGAGTTCGGACTTTATTTAAATGCCCTGTTTTCAGAAAAGTCAGGGAGTTTCCTGAATAAATAGAAGTTCCATTCCATACTGTAATAACACAGAAGTAGGATGAGCCTGCCTAAAACTGGTCTCATATTGAAGAATAATCAATTTCAAAGAAAAGTTGTGAAAACGGAGAAAAAATCTCTATTAATTTGGATTTTATTCCACGTTTTATCAAACTACATGAAATTTATGCTAATTATTTTGATTCACTTGAATAGGCACAGTGGCTTTAACACAAGTAGGGATGTTGCGATACTACTGATATAATCTTGGTATCGATACTTTGGTTTCGATACTGGGTAAACCAGTATTCGATACTAGGGTGACGATACTATTGATACCCATATGGGTATTTTCTTTCGATACCGTTTGATGTATCAAAATAAAATCAATATCAATATCATCTTCATACAAGCCATATTGTTCCTAGAATTCTATTTAAGTAAATTTCCTGATTAGTGACTCTATGTTATCGTTTGCGCGATATTTTATTTCCTATGCCCCTCTAGTAGCGATACTTGTATGGCATCGTAATGTATTCAAACCGTATAAACCAGTAGTGGGCATTTCATATCACGCGCACAGCTCAACTGAAATTTTTCAAATTTATTTTCGGAAGACTGTCATCCAGATTCCACATAAAGTTCCAGCAAATGTTGCTCTACGCAATTCCCGATCTGCGGTCGTCGCATTTTCAAACCTCCGAGTGTACTTCTGCCATGAAATCGCTTCTCATAAAAACCATTTGCCGTTCGGAGGCGACCTCGAAATTTAGGCCCCTTCATTTTCGTGACAAGATCAACACACACATTTTGGAAAACATGATTCCTAACTCGTTTTTTGGATGCATTCAAAAAACTAGCAAAAGGGCAGATAACTATTATAGGAGTATGTGTTGAAAGCCTGAAAGAATTTGTAATAGTTTTCAAATTTAGCAACTGTTAGGCCCGATTTCAGATGGTCTACTTAAGTAGAGATTGTTGTTTAATTTCCACTATTCCTTTTCAGATCATACATTTAGTCTGCACTTAAATGGCCAATTTTGCTATTTAAATATGAGATGTGCAACCCTGTGTTTATACCAAACAACCAAGATTGAATGGTAGGTTGTTTAAACAATCCCACCAAATCCCACCTAAAACAATCAGCTGTTCAGCAGAAAATGTAAACAAACATGCAAATGCAACAACAATTCCAAAGAATAAGCTGCAGTGCTGCCAATTGTTTGGCATAAATGGCATTTAAACAACAATCCACAATTAAACTTAAGTGCCGTTTAAATATTCATTTGAAATTGGCCCTTAGACTATAACATCCTTACTTTTGACGAAAAAACTCAGCCTTAGAGAGCCTTTACTTACTGACCTGCTCACTTTTTATTATTATAACCAATTTACCAAGCTCAGGAAGAAACAAACAGTAACTCCAGGCATTTTTCGTTTTAATAAGACCCGATAAATAAGCTGCTTAATTTTAACGGGATTTGTTAAACTTTTTGAAAGATATTGTTAAACTTTATTTTTCGGGGGCGGCAACACTGATTACATTGCCGAACAAACAAACGAAATTCAGCCAATGAATCAGTCTGGCACGTGATTCAACCACTACAGGTTGTAGCAGTCGTACAAATCAACATTTACCGTTGGTATGAACTCCTTGTGTCATCAACATGTTCTTTATCTATTAATATTCGTATGTATATGTATACCCTGCATACCAGGATTTCATAGAATTCTGAAAGGTTTCACAATTTTTTTTATAATTTCCTTTAAGAAATCGTACAGAAATTTCTTTACTAGGTCTTGTCAACCGCTTCATATGTTTTTCTTTAAAGATTTCTAAAAGAATCGTAACAAATTTCCGACACTTTTAAAGATTTCGGGAGCATTTGTTTGCAGGGTATATATAGACGAATATGTGTATGTATACGCGGAGATGTAAATAAAGCAAAACAGACGATAATTTGACACAAGCGTGCTCATAAGAAGAAGCATAGCTTCTGTCGCTATCACCTGTAATTGATGCGCCTTGGTCTGGCATAAGCTCTTACCGAGGCACGATGCAAGAATACAAGGTGGTATCAGTTGTGACAGCTCGATTTCACACTGCCTTAGCTCAGTAGAGTAGGAAGAAAAACGGGAAGAAATTAATCCCCATTTTGGGGGAAAAATATAAAATTTCATGTTTTCTTCTAAACAAAAATTACTTTTTTATAGTATATTTATTCGTAATGAAATGAAATAAAATAAGATAAAATACCTTTTTGAGAAAACGAAATGTGTATACTGAGAAAAAATAAAAAAAATTTAACTATATTATTAGGCAAAGAATTGTTAAAGAAGTAGCACTGTTTCACCTAAGGCAGTCAATATGGCGGAATTAGAGCGAGAAGTTGCCAACCGATAACTCCTTGTATTATTGCATCATGTTACCGAGGCATGTTGCATTGTTTGCGCGCTCATAGCGCGCAGTTTTTGACGAAAATTAGGAGTTGTGCTTGCGCTTTTTTATAAGTTTTTATTTAACTTGGTCATCCCGCGGAAATCGTGGATATTTCCAATCGATTTTAAACTAACTTCCAGACAAGTTAGAGACTTGAAATATTCAGCATAGTTCCAATCACGATGACAATGCAATTTAGTATATAAATGAATTCCTCATATGGTCCAGAGCTCTTGATTCAAAGGCGGCCAAAAAATAGTAAGATTTATGGCTAACAGAGCGTAATTTGCCAAAGAACGTAAAACCACTATAAAATTGTTAAAGCTGTCGGCGATAGTGTAGCAAAGCTATTTGTGGCAAATTCTAGATATGAACCTCGTTGTAGGAATTAGAAGGCTCCAGATGTCACCCCGCCAGAAGAAGTTAAATATTGCTCCAAAATATATGCCATTTACATATGCTACAGAGGAAATGGACGACACGCCATTTCTTTAAATGAAATTAACAGCTGCTATATGTACATATGTATGTTTATACAAAACGTAAGCAAACAACATTTTGCTTGCATGGTCTTCTGTTCTCTTTCATTGCAAGTTGAATTATTTTAATATCTATTGCAAAATTTTGTACATAAAATAAAATAACACTTTTTAATATACAACGCTTTTATAAATGGACTAAAAATTAGAAAATAAAATAATGTAAAAAAAAAAATATTTTTCAAAAACAAGCCTTTATTTAACATGTACAATCAAAGGAATAAAATAAAGTAGTGTAACAAACGATTTTTTAGCAAGAAAATTTTGTCAAAACTGCACTAAAATGAATAAAATAAAATAAGTTAAGGTCTCGTTAAAGTTACTAAAAGCCATTTAGTGAAAGGAGTTATTCAAACTCTAATGAAAATTACTAACAATTT